TGAAACTAATGTAACGTTGTATGTCTGCTATACTCAAATTTAAACTGTACTCAAAAAAATAAATATTTGTAAATATTTGTTTTGAGAGAGAGAGAGGGAAAGAGACACAGCACACGTGCACAAGCAAGGAGAGGCAGAGGGATAAGGAAGAGAGAATCCTAGGCAGGCTCCATGGTGTCAGCACAGAACCCAGTGCTATGTTCAATTTCACAAACTGTGAGATCATGACCTGACCCCAAATCAAGAGTTGGACACTTAACCAACTGAACCACCCAGACACCCCATGCCCATATATATTAAAAGAACTTGGGGCTTCAATGATACTTAGCACCTGTCATTTCAGGTCAGGTAAATAAAACATTTCTTTAGGCGACATTTGGCACCTTCGGAGAAGCAAAGAATCAGACTGAGCAATCTAACTTCCAGCTGCTGTAAGGAAAGAGAAAGAGCTGGTTTCATCTAATTCTTAGGGAATTGAGATAAAGCACAAGGGTTTATGAAAGATCAAATAAGAAGAAGCAGAACACCTTCCACTAACAGAAAGGGCAAAGAATAAAGGAAAATCTCTCTTTTAGGGAAGCAGAAGTTTAAAATTGCATGAATAATTCTTGATATAATAGAAAATAGTAATCCTTTAAGACTGAATGACATTCATTCTGAAATAAATTATCATTCTAAATGGTATGATCTTTTCTCTAAAAGACTACTTAGAGGAAATGAGCTGGATACTTGGTTTGTATTTCTTTTGGAATTTTTTTTTTCCTATTCACTTAGTCACCAAATTTTATTGATTTTCTGGTTTTGTGTTTTTATTCCTTTTACTTTGGGTTATTGCATTCTTTCTGGGTAGATAGCTGAAACATGTAGAAAAGAGAAACTATGCCTGTAAATGTAGTTTCCATCTGTCAGATTACTAACAGCGGTACTCTTTTTATCTTGTGTTATAAAGAACTGACTGTGAGTTTTGCCCAGTTTGGAAAACTTTTGAAAGCATAGCCTTGACTTTCATTTACTCATAGCACTACATGTTCTATCAAGTAAGGATGATGTTATATGACTTCTGAGTGAAGGCACCAGATTGAAATATTATTTTTTGTGGGTTTTCAGTAATACTTGCCAGGTGGTGAAGAGAACATTCTATTTCTTTAAATTAGTGGACTAATAGAGAAAACAGTTTTTCCGGAAAATTGTTTTTCCTATTAATTACAAGACTGGAACCTTAAAAAATCTTAATCAGAGGGCAGTGGTCTTTATCTGCTTTGTTCACTGATATATCTAATGACTTAGTCCATTACTGCCTTTGTAGGTATTCAATATATATTTGTTGAATGAAAGAATCACTAGTATACTTTTTAATTGGTAAGCTCAATTACCAAGCTCAATTTTTCTTATTCTTCCAATGGGCCTTTGATCTGAACAAAATGCATCATTGTTTGTTGGAGGTTTTTTTTTTTTCTTTACATTTTCCTTTTCTCAGGAAAGCACAGGAGTAAGTTTATCCAACTCCTTGATGAAGATGGTTTGTGAGTTATGAGCATATGTCCATCCACACCCCTACACATTTCAAATATTTCTAGCTATTTGCAATATAGAAATCTGTATATACTTAAGGGTAATGCTGGAAATAATAAACACAGAATAACACAGTTTTGTTTTCCTTCTTAATTTTCTAGGGGACTTTAGAGAAGCCCTGAAAGGTTTTGTTTTTTTTGTTTGTTTGTTTGTTTTGTTTTTTTTTAGCTCAGGCCCCTCTGCTAATTAGTGTTACTGCAAAACTAGAACTCAATCCCCTGACTCCCAAATGGTTTTTTCATACACATTATAAATAGCTTTTTGAAGGTGAAGACCTTTTCCATTTAAAATATTGATTCACCATCATGATACCTTTGGGCAAATATTTTAATGCCCAAACTATTAAAAAAGAACTTTTTCCCCCAAATATAGAGAGTATTTCATAGCCAAAATTCTTTAGAAGAACGTGTTCTTCTAAGGCTATTAATGCAGAGAGTACTGACATGTGTGTCAGTTGATATACATTATATTATCAGTAGGTAATCTTTTAGATCAATAATTTAAACTTATTTTCATATCTTGAATTATATTTGCAAGGAAACTGGCTTCTGAATAGTGAAGTGCGAATATTGGTAGAATATTTACTGTTGCTAATATGCAAACTCTTTGGGGTACAGTTGCTGTGTGTCTTTCATAACAAGGAGACAAGTGAGCACCTGTGTGTTTAACTAGATAACTTAAGGATCCGTGTGAATATTAAGAGCTTATGTTATAACAGCATTAATTTGATTATCAAGTGTGCTCTACCCAAAGCAGTCTTTATATTTTAAGTAAAATTAGTAGATTTTTTATCCCAATTTACTGGCTTTTTGTCATTTTTACTTTAAGTTGATTGTTATAGATTGGAATTTATAAGTGGTTTTCTTTTTTTTTTTCCCCCCAAAACACCCATAAATTTGAACTTGAGGCGAAGGGCATGCAAGAAGAAATAAATTAACTAAAGAGAGAATCTTTTTCTCTCCCAAATCTCATTCTGTATAGATCTGTAGGTTCCCAAGTACCACATGCATTCCTTCTCCTCAGCAGTCTCTTGATAGGGCTTCACATTCAGATAGAAGAGTATGACAATCCAATTAAAATACATTTATTCATAGTACCATCAATTAGAGAAATTCCTCTTTTCAGATAGTCCACTAAATGAACACTATCACATCATTTTTCGTTCAGAGGAATATGCAAATCTCAAGTGCTCTATTTCAAGTAAGGTACACCTCAATTTTATCTCCACATTTGATATTTAGTAATATTTTTAATATAATTTCTACCTCATATTCTATTTCAAAGTGAATTTTATAGACAGGAATCATCAGTAAACTTATTTTTATTTCTCCATGCCTCAAAAACTAAATTGATACACTTTGGATTAATGAAAATGTCATAAAACAGCACTTTGTGAAAGAAAGGCAAACATTCCAAAACCAATGACACAATATTTAATCACCTAATTTTTAAGATGAGTCCAGAATTTAAAAGGCAGCTCCATAAATGAAATTAAGTGATTAGAAATATAGCAGAGGGAGTGTGAATATTGGGATACTCTTCTAGTTGGCAGTATAGTTAACTAACTAATTCAATTTAGAGTAGAGTTGAGAAAGGATAAAAGAGAAACAGCTTTGATCAAATATGTGAAAACTAAACATTACTTAAATGTTAAAATTGAACTCCCACTTAAGTTTTATCTGTCACCAGAAGTGACAATATTATCTGAATAATCCAGTGTTTCTGTCCATTTAAAATGTTCTCCTGATTAACATATAAGATTAGCATGTAAGAACATATGATAATGGTATGATTAACATATAAGAACACAGTAATCAAAAAAAAAAAATGAATTGCTAGTTTAACTCTAAAGTTCCTCTTGTTGGAAATTATTATTTCCCACAATTATTATTTCTTGTTAAAATTACCTAAACTAAAATCTTCCAAGAGATATTATAGAAATAATCTATATACCATAAATTTGTTAGGATTTTATTTTTCAGACACTTATTTTTAAAATAACCCTGCTTTAAAAATGTAGCCAAGAACTGCAGATTCAGTTTCTAAAATGTTTATAGAAAATACATTATAAATATGGAATTTAATTACATAAAGTACTATAGATTTGGCTTGCCCAAGCTTTTGTTAAATTGGTCCTTAATTTATATTATTTCATTCTTAATATATTACTTCATGATACGCAACTGTTTAGAGTTGATAATTTACTTATGTTACATGTAAGGAATACTCTTAAATTTAAGTAAATTATATAATGTGATGTAATTAAACAAAATATATAATTTTTCTATAAAAATGAAATTTTGAATAATTTTAGGAATACACTTTGAAAAATTTGATACCTATAAACTTGGAAAAATTTGGTGCCCAAATCTCATTAATCAAAAATATTCATTGACTCAGTGTTGAAATATTATTTTTAGGATATTTATCAGACATTTTTTGAACTAGATGGAGTCAAAAATCTTAGCAGAATCTGGTTTATGTAACAAGATAAATTGCCTTGAGTTTTAATATAGGACCATTTTTTCTTTTGCTTAAAAGAAAACAATGATGAGCCTAGCTCATAATCTGCTAGGCTTAAAATATGCAAATAAATGCAACTTTAAACTTTATAATCATTTTAAATTATAGCAAACAGTTGAAAAGGGAAAGCCAAAACTCCTTTTAACCACAAAGGACATATGGAAAAAAAAATTCTTTACCGTTTTAAATAGGTACAAAAAAATAAGGTAAAGAAATTTTGGCAACTTTAAAATTGTTAAAGAAAACTGATAACAAAACTGGATATTTCAGTCCAAACTATATGTTCAGGACCCAATTTATACAATGATATAGCCAATGAGCCTGTTCCTGAAGTCTTTGCTAAGATTCAGTTGCCTAAATCTCTTGATCTTTTTTTGTCAATTAAATGTCATAATCTTAATAGCAATTCACATTAAAAAAATTTTTTTTGCTTTTGTCATCTTTTTTTTAATGTTTATTTTTGAGAGAGAGAGAGAGAGAGAAGAATTAGTAGAGGGGAGGCAAAGAGAGAGGGAGATAGAGAATATGAATCAGGCTCTGCACTGAAAGTGGAGAGAGCCTCATGCTGGGCTCCAGCTCACACAACCACACAACCATGAGGTCATGACCTGAGCTGAAACCTAGAGTAGGACACCTAACTGACCGAGCCACCCAGGAGCCCAGCTTTAGTCATCTTTGATGTTTTTCCATTTTCTTTGGAAAATATTCTAGATATTCTGAAAAATTAAAAATAGGATGGTAATTTTTCTTAAAAGAGTTTATTCTACTGAAATCAGCCACATAGGGGAAATAAGTTGATTTATGTTTTGTATAATTCTCAAATTCTTTAGTTTATTTTCAGATCTGTATTTTACATTGTGTTATATGTGTTTTGTTTTATTTATTTATTTGTTTTACTTCAATAGCCTTTTATGTCACCTCGGTACCCTGGAGGTCCAAGGCCCCCACTGAGGATACCTAACCAGGTAAGATTCGTGTGGTACTTAAGTTTATGGGTTTTGTTATTGTTGTTATTGTTATTCTTTGTAAGAATCAATAAAGATCGTGAAAAGTTCATGAATATTTCTTACCTATAAAAATATTAAATAATCCTTTCTCTATCCCATTTAATGCTACTTCTATTAATATATAATGTATTTCAAGAATTGGCAAACTCTTGTCTGTATGTTGGCTGACTGGTTTTGTAAATAAAGTTTTATTGGAAAACAGCCAAACTCATTCATTAATGTATTGTCTATGACTTCTTTTACACTGCAGTAGCAGATTTGAGTGGTCAGATATTTACTGTCTGGATCTTTGCAGAAAAAAAAGTTTGTGGAATCTTGGAGTCTACCATATACTTTGAACTTAATTGTTAATATGTGTGTGTGTGTGTATGTGTGTGTGTGTGTGTATGTAATTTTGATAAATGCTAAATACTTTCATTTAAAAGATGGCAATAAAATTTTCTATAGAATGGACATACTTTGGTTTATTTTTATATAATATGCTTTCAATATTATGGCCATAATACATCAGTTTTGCCCAAATTTGGTGATATATTGGGTATATAAATAGCTGCTTCTGGAAGGGTTAGATCTATTAATAAATAAATTGTTAGCAATAGATCTTTCAACTTTTTTACCTACTAGAGCTCTAAGATTTCATAAGCTTTTATTGCACAGTGTTTTTATCAATACCATAAATATTTATTTGCTAAAGAGAATAATGCACAATTTTTACTTGCAAGGAGTTTATAGTTTAGTTTCAGAATACAGTAAATGTGTATTTACATAACACCAGAAGAAATTAAATGCTTAATTTTATGGACTATTTATGTCGAGATAATTGTTTTGTTACTTTCTTTAAGTCTGTTATTATATACCTCAGCATTTTCCACAGTCTAAAGTAAACCCTGTTATTCCAAACATTTCTTCATTCTTAACTCTTTTTCTGTCTCCACTTTCTTTCTGACCAAAAAAAGGGAACAAAATTGTGCTTACTAACATATTTGATAGCAACAGAGTTCTGCTTCTCTTCTAACTCTTAGTGAAATTATGCAGTGTCCTTTAAGTGTCCCAGTTTGCCAGTTTTTTTCTGCTTTTAGTGCACAGCAAGGAGTGCCAGCACCCACATCCACCCCCAGGGGAGAACTTGAAGTAGGCAGCGGTGCTGGATGATCTCAAGGTTATAGTGCTGGGAAATCTCAATTAGCAGCTGGAGGAGTCTTTCCCTTCAGACTGAATCTGCATTCAGTACATAGGGCCAGGGAAACATGGCATGAAATAGGAAAAGAGAGTGCACAGATGCCAAGTGTTCCAACATACGGGAATTTTATTTTCTCTGTGGGTGAACCTATGTATATTGACAGTCAGATCTACTTCTATAGGTGCCAAATCTTTTAAATTTCCTTCTAAGGGATAGAAAGTTGTATGTTTCATTGGGGTCTTCATAATGTTTCACACATCCCATCCATAGCTTTGTATGTTATAGAGATATAAGAGGTTCCTGAAAAGCTGAATTAGGGAAATGTGAATTTCTTGTACCAGGTATGTTATTAAAAAATGTTTGACTCCATATATTCTGTATCAATGATGAAAATCTGATGGGATTATTGGGATGCATCCATCTGACGTTGAAATGCCTGCCGTGTATAACATACAGTGCAAGGTTCCATATGAAAAGAGAGTCATAAAATAAAAAACATACTTTGTGAAAGAGGAGTGAATTGTGGAATTGTAAATCTAGATTGTTTGAATTTGTTTTTAAGAACTAATACAGAATGCTTTTGGATTTTTTAAAAAGGTAGTTTAAAATTTTAAAGATAATAATTATGATACAATCTCTTTTTCCTCAAGAATTTTAAACAGTCTTTACCTAAGTGTATTTTAAAATAATTGTACTCATGTCTGAGTGGCTCTTTTTTGTCCACTCATCCCCCCCCCCCACATTTATATAGTTAAACTTTATTAATTCAAATATCTATCTTTCAAATTTATAATTTTATATTTATACTATTTTTAAAAAGAATTTTCTGAGCAAATTAATTGTGTTAATAGTGTAAACATAATGTTTTACCAAATGTGGAACCTAGTTAGGAACATGACCTTTTCAAGCAACAGAATGTTTCTTCAATTTCATTACAAAGTCATTAAAGTAGAATTGGAAAAAACTTTATTTTGTGATTAACTGGAATGTTGCCTATAAAAACAATATAGATATGTTTTTTTAAATTTCATCTTCATTTAAAATGATCATAAACTAATTAAACTTTGTTTTACTGATAGATTGGATCTAAGAAAATAAAAAATGAAATATTCTTCAATGGTGTTAGCTCGTCATTTTGAATATGTAAAAGATACTCCTTTAATAAACAGATTTTCCAGAATTTATAATTCCTGATGATTAGACTATAAATTTTTTTTAAGATTTTATTTTTAAACAATCTCTACCCTTGATACGGGCCTCAAACCCACAACCCCAAGTTCAAGAGTCATACATCTCTACCAAATGAGCCAGCCATGTGCCTCTAAGACTGTAGATTTTCACTTGAAATCTCCAAAGATAGTTTTTATGGTTCTAGAGTAAATTCACAATGGTTTATATTATATGTATATTTATAGTACAGGGTATTTGGGACTTGATATAATATCACTCTGCCAAAAGAAAAAATACAGGAAGAGGTAATGGGCTCTAAAATGTTAAAAGAAAAGTGGGGCGCCAGGTGGCTCAGTTGGTTAAGTGTCCAACTCTTGGTTTCAGTTCAGGTAATAATCTTGCAGTTCATGAGTTCAGGCCCCGCTTTGGGCTCTGCGCTGGCAGTGTGGACCCTGTTTGGTATTCTCTCTTTTTCCTGTCTCTTTGCCTCTCCCCTCCTCTCTTTTTCTCTGTCTCTCTTTCTCTCTCTCTCTCTCAAATAAACTTAAAATAATTTTTTAAATAATAATAAAGTGATGGAAGAAAAGTAAAATTATAAACATATATAATGTTGCAAAGAATAAATATATATTAAAACATAGGAAACATAGAAGTTAAGTCCAAAAGTATATTTGACTATACAGTTTTATACCAGAATTGGTTCAACTGTCAGAAGAGATCATTGGTGTTGAAGCATCCATAACCTGGAATAGAATAAGCCTTTTTTTTTTTTTTTTTTTTTTTTTTTTTTAATTTTTTTTTTTTTAATTTTTTTTTTTTATAACACTCAGTGCTCATCCCCACAAGTGACCTCCTCCATGCCCATCCCCCCGCCCCATATCCATCAGTCCTCAGTTTTTGTCAGCATTCAAGAGTCTCTCATGGTTTGCCTCTCTCCCTTTGCCCCACCATTCCCCCCCTTCTTCTCCTCCATGGTCCTCCATTAAGTTCCTCCTAATCCTCCTATATGTGCAAACATATGATATTTGAATAAGTCTTTATCCTTCTCTTAGATAAAAATGTTTAATCAGAAAAATTCACAATGTTTATTCAACACTGTGCTGAGGAAACTAAGACAGCCAGATTACAGAGACTGTTAATGAATGATACCAAGCATAAGCTACTGATTTATTGATCCTATAGAATTTTGAGTTTATACTCTATTTTTGATGATTCCTGAAACTCTGTAAACAGGTATGTGACAGAATTAATGCTGTTGACCATTTTATATTCCAAAGCTGATTTTGGTATTCTAAAAACATAGCGCATCTGACCATTCTACTCAAAGTCTCAAAGATCTTTCTCCAATAGTAGATGATTAGTTAAAATAAACTATAGTATATCCAAATGGTAAAATAATATGCAGCTATTAAAAGGCATGTTATAGAATTACATTTATTGATATGATAAAATGTTGATCTATTACCAACTGTAAAGAAGTCATAAAGCACATGTGTATATCACCTTTTCTATATCACTGTAGCAACTCAGATAGTTTCCCCCACTCATCACACACACACACACATACATGCACATATTTGTCAAAGATTTAAAGGACATATAAGGATATGTCCTTTATTTCTGGATATTAGAATTATGAGTGGTTTCTTTGTTTATTTCTTCATTTTTAAAGTTTGCATTGAACAAGTATTTCATTAGTGATTAGAAGAAAATATCACTAGTTAATTGTATACATAGATAAATATAAGTAAGATGGTTTATTCTTCTAGTAACTCAATATATAAGATTATCCTCCATTAATATTGAATATATACTTCTTACATGATGAAAAGAAAAACATAATGTATGCTAAGGATAGGCCAATCTTAAAAAAACCCAGACTTTTCTTCATCACTTTTCATAGAGAAAATATCAACAGGCATTTGAGCAGAAAAAAATTGTTGGGATGTTTACTCATATACTGAAAATAAATTTTACATTTCCTTGTATAACAAGGTATCTATATTTTAAAATGCACTTTATTTTCTCTTTTCAGGATAAATCCCATTTATCATGGCCTTTCCCAAATTTTGTCTTACTAAAATTTTCCATATGCAAAATTCTACTTTTACTTAATCAGTGTGAGAACATAAGAAAGACCTCAGCTGCATAAAGCAAAGTATGTTCTATATTGAGTTAATAATAGGAGTCTATTGTAAGGATGGCCATAATAAATCTTTAGCTTTAAAAATTAAATGTTACAGCTGTCTAATATAAATTAGTGATTAATAAAGAAACTGTGGGTTTTTCTGGCAAGTTCAAAATATCCTTTTCTGTCATTGAGGTTGAATTTCTTTGTTATGATAATGACACTATTAATGTATTTAAGTTGTTATTTTAAATCCACTGAGACACATTTAAAAACATATTTTCCTTATAACTTTGAATTGTGAGTATATCCTGAGATATATACCCTTTCCAGTTCCTACCTTTGTATGGCACAGGAAATTAACAGATTCAAAATATCTGGCACAAAAAAATTGGCATTCTCCTTCCCAAACCAAGAATACTTTACATAGTAAATGCTATGCCAGCTTACTCAATTTAAGTTACAGGTAATAGAATTTTT